ATCTATCTATCTATCTATCTATCTATCTATCTATCTATCTATCTATCTATCTATCTATCTATCTATCTATCTATCTATCTATCATCTAGTCCATCCGTTCTTACCTATAAGAGGTACAAAAACATATGTTTTCTTTTTTTACATTATTTGGGATTGTTTAAAATTCAAGCGATAGAATTTATCAGTATGAAATTGCATACATTTATTTCAACCAGCCAAACATTTTGAAAACGATTAGTTTTATTTGTCTTTCACTCTTTTTCAAATTTGAACAGAATCAGCACAGTTTTAGTTTGATAAGGTGAGATTTTAGGAGGGAGAGTAAAAGACCTGCAGGTCTTAAATCTAATTAAAAGTAGATTTAATTTATATTTAAACTCTAACACTGTCCGTCCATCCATCCATCCATCCATCCGTCCATCTATCTATTCATTATCCACTAATCAAGAAAACAGGAAATTATGATGAACCTTCAAGGAACAGCTGATGTAACAAAACCAATCAACGAGGGCATAAATAACTCATCCAGGACCAGGGGGTCAAAGAAGAACCCCGGAGGAGAATCTAAAGCTGTGAGTTAATAATACAAAAAAAGAACACAGCACCCAATAGACCTTCCTGTTAAAACCATTGACATTTGAGGAAATTAATGTTGTAAAGGCAGGCATGATGGTAGTAGTATGATGGTCTGCAATAGCAAAAACGTTCATAAAGTTCAATGTGAGGTTATCAGCTTTGACCTTAAGCTCAAGTGTACTTTAGCAGTGTTGTGCAGCAGGCCAATGATCTAAAGCGCTCCAGCAAGACGGTTTAGGACCAGCTTAAAAAACAGATAAAGAAGGTTTTAGAATGACTTATCAAAGTGTGGATATAAGACCAAATGTGAATCTGTGATAAAACCTTTAAAGAGGCCGATCATAGTAGAAAAAACTACAGGTTGGCTGAAAATTCAATAAGTAAAGAAGAGTGGGGCTAGATTTCTTTTGGTTGGGATAGCTTTTCATTTCTTAATCATAAAGAAATTCTCATTTGAAAACAAATACAGAAGAAATTTGTAATTGGAAAATGCTTTTTTATAGTATTGTATATGACACAGCGTGGCTTCACGTGTTTACATAAGTGTGCTATTTCTGTTGTCTGACAAAGTTTTTCCCTTTAGCCCTTTAAGAGGAAAATGCAGCACATTTCAAATGGAATTAAAATAAGGCCCTTTACCTTGTTTCTGTGCAGTGCCCTGTTTTCAGAAGCAGTTCAAAATAAAAAATAAAAAATAACATCCAAAAAGTCGCCATGATGTCACGATCCGGAATGAAAATGTCCAAACCCTGAAAACATGCAAACTGTGGGGGTAGGTACAAAGGTATTGATTTGAAGCTGTGTTTATTTAAGAAAACTCTTCCTTTCAGAAAACATGTTGATATCAACAGAGGCCTGAGTATTTGGTTACTTATCTCTTTAACAAGCCATTTAATATTGGATAATCAAAATATTTGTAAAATATTTCTTTAACCAGTTTAATCCTAAAACTTCAACACTGTTGGATATATGAGCTACAATGTGAAAATGTACAGTCCTCCACCGCTGAGATGTTTTAAATGCCAAAAAATCTAGTCATATGGGAGCTGTATGTAAAGGAAAACAATCATGTTTAAGGTGTGCTGGAAAGCATGATTATGGAAAATGTGGGAAAGAAGTAAAAATTAAATGCTGTGACTGTGGTGAGGGAACATACTGATGCATATCATGGATGTGAAGTGAGCAAAAGATCTGAAAGGATAAAAAAAACAAAAATGAAAATAGAGTTCGGAATAATTTATGCTGAAGCTACAAAATGAATCCCATCCCAGTCAGAAAAACCCAAATCAACAGTAACACAAACGGCAAGTGCAAAACCTTTGGAGGAGTGCCCCAAAATTGCAGAATACTCCTTAATTGTAAAAAAAAAAAAAAAAAGATAGAATAGAAAATCTCTTTATTGTCCAATAATGTGGAAAGTCGGGTGTTTACAGCAGCAAAATGATCATGGAAAAAATTAGTCACACAAATGTGGACCTTAGAAAATTTTATAACAATAACATAATAGTGAAGAGTTAAAAGATAAACTATAAAATAGTGTACTGTAAAGTGTTTTAACAATATAAATATTGTGCACCTGGAGAATAACTAACAGATATACAGCTATGGACATTTTTACATTAATGGTATCTTCTAATAATATCTATATAGAATCCTTAAAATTTAGTTCAAATGTTGTTCTGTAAATCCCTTTGTTGTTGCATATGTTTGTAATTATCAATATTCTATATTGTTCATGTATGTTCTTTTTTTTTTGCAATAAAACAAACAAAAAAAAGTCTTATTTCCTGTTTCCTTGTTAAACTCCTCATCAGTTGGTTGCGGAAATGGATTTTAATCAGTTTACCTCGACGCTGTATTGCTGCCTGACCTGTTGGGGGCGCCATATAGCTAGAACTCACAGTGAGGAGAGAGAAGACGTGAAGGCGAAGAAGTGACGTAAAGATGTCTGCTCACGATCAGCTTGTTTTGTATTTGTGTGAATTAACGAGGTAAGACGCAAAAAATAGCAGAGATTAGAGGATAGTTTGGGCTTAAACTATTCACTTTATTTTTGTTTTTTCTTTATTACAGCTGATTTTCGACAATAACAAAAAATAACGCAACATTAGCTTATTTATTTGGCATGTACTGTGAAAAAATGCAACAGTTTTAGAGTAGTGTGATTAATATATTTCAGTCATTAAATCTGTGCTCATTTTCTAAAGTTTCTTTCGGTGCTGTTTGAATTAAGCCGTTTGAATAAAAAGAATCGAGGGATTCAATTGCAGTTAAAAAGGCTTCTAGGTGGCCCGTCTGACTGAATGGTGTTGCCACCAGTGCAGAGCTTGGTCTAGTTTGGCTTGAGCGCATAAAAAAACATGATAGATTGTGTTGATGAATAAACCTAATTATTCAATTAAAAATAAAAATTAGCATTTCTCACACTCACGTTAAATGCACAGATTTAAAAATGGATATTTCAGATATTTTAACCTATTTTTCATATGCCATGCTTTTAAGTCCTGCTGACATTTTCCTCTTCCTGTAAACCCCTCTGCGTTGCCTGCTGCTTAAACTGAGCCATATTCACATTGAGCATCTCTTCATTTCAGGTTGCTGTGGAAGTTGCTTCTCCCACTGGTGCTTCTGTGTGTGCTTCTGCTCGCCGTCCTGGTCCTGCTGGTGCTGGCTGTTCGTCTCTGGCTGCAGAGCAGCAGGAACGCTCGCCGGGCGAGGGAGGGTCGACCCACGGTAGCCTTTTTCCACCCTTACTGCAATGCTGGAGGGGGAGGAGAAAGGGTGCTCTGGTGTGCAATCAGGGCTCTGCAGAACAGGTAGACCACATTTCTGATGACATTTATATGTGGAGTGCATCAAAAATAAAACTTAAACATGCTGCCTTCATGGAAAACTTTTATTGCCCATCACTGAAGACTTGCAGGGGACATGATGGCAGTAAGAAGGTGCAGGGGTTAGATTCAGTTTATTTATGTAGCACCATTTAACAACATGCCTTCTTAAGGCACTTTAAAGAGACATTTTAATCAAAACATACAGACAGATTGGTTATATATTAAAACAAGAAACCCAGCTGATTACATCAAGTAAAAATAAATAATTATAATTGATCTTTGATTAATTCTCTGCATTTAATCAATTCCCTAAGGGAGCAGTGGGCTGCCATTGTGTGGTGCCCAGGGAGTAGTGTGGGGTTAAGGGTCTCTGGAACCCATCAAACCGGATATTTGAAACCTCAGACCACAAGCTCACTGCTCTAACCACTAGGCTAACACTCCCCCAAGTACTTGATGCAGAATTTGCTCCTCGTGGATGGGCAGATGGGGACCGCAGACAAAAGTAGAGGAAAGAAGTAGAATGGAGCAGAGTGAGGAAAAGTTGTCCCTATGTCCTCCAGCAGTCTAAGCCTATAGCAGCAGAACTATAGAAATAGCTCAGGGTAATCTGAGTTGCTCCAACTGTAAGCTTTATCAAAAAGGAAAATAGACAGGGTGTCTTCCATACAGACTAAAACTAGTAGTTGGTTCTATAGAAGAGGAGCCTGATAACTAAAAGATCTGCCTCCCATTCTGTTTTTAGAAATTCTACTGGTAAACCTGCAGATTGAGAGTGAAGTGGTCTGTTAGAAACAAAAGTAACACTCATATCTCTGATATAAGATAGAGCTTTGTTAATTATGGTTTTATACTTGAAGAATATTTCAAACTCTATTCTGGGTTTTACAGGAAAACAATGCAGAGAAGCTGGGATAGGATATATATGATCTTTTATTTTCATCAGAACTCTGGCTGCAGCATTTTGGATCACCTGAAGGCTTTTAACTGCAGTTTTTGTGGATTTTCTGATAGTAAATAATTACAATACTCCAACCCTGGGCTATCAGCATCACCCCCAGACAAGAGATTTCCAATTTTTGCAATATTCTGGAGATGAACGAAGGAAATTTTCCAACCTTTTTGATATTGGATTTAAATCACATTATTTTCCTTAATCATAGACGTAAAATGTGGTCAAACTTGTTGGACATGTGAATTAAGCTAAAAACAGTGCAATACTGGAAAAACTCACGTCCAAACATTTTTATTTGGACTTAAAGGTTCACCCAATAGCAGCCCACCACTAAACACATCATGAGCTACAATTAAAGGAGGCCAATGCTGTAGAATGGATCAGTCAAAGTCCAGAAGTAAATCTGAATTAGAATCTTTGGCAAAACCTAAAAGTTGTGTACGAGTTCTCTTCATCCAATCTGACGGGGGTTAAGCTGGTAGATTCCCCCCTAACAGATTAGCAACTGCAGCAGAGGACGTGCTACAGAATGCTAACGATCACCATTTTTGATAATTTTCCTGCTTTCTAATATGTATTTTTTGCAGGTATGCAGACGTCAACTTTGTGGTTTACACCGGGGACCTAGGCGTAACTGGCCAGCAGATCCTGGAAGGAGCCCGTCAGCGCTTCAACATCGTGCTCCCACGACAGGTTCGCTTTGTGTTCCTGCAGCACCGGGTGCTTGTGGAGCCTGGCCTGTTTCCGCACTTCACCCTTCTGGGACAGAGCATAGGGTCCGTCTTCTTGGGATGGGAGGCGCTGACAGAGCTGGTCCCGGACCTCTATATAGACTCCATGGGCTACGCATTCACTCTCCCGCTGTTTCGCTACCTGGGAGGCTGCAGCGTCGGGAGCTATGTTCACTATCCCACCATTAGCACCGACATGCTCTCTGTGGTGAGGGAGCGGAACCCAAGGTAATACCAATCTACTTTTATCAATGCGTTGCTTTCCAACCACTGAAGTAACCAAAAGTATTTACCTCAGGTTCAACAACCCAGACTTCATCTCAAACAGTCTGTTTCTGAGCGCCTTCAAGTTGGTCTACTACTGCCTCTTTGCTGTGCTCTACGGGATGGCCGGCTCCTGCAGCGACGTCATCATGGTCAACTCCTGCTGGACCCTCGACCACATCTTGTCTCTGTGGCGTTCCCCCAACCGCACCAGCGTGGTGTACCCGCCCTGCGACATAAGTGCCTTCCTGGACATCCCGCTGGAGGATGACGGGGACAGGAAGTGCCACTCCATCGTTTCTGTCGGGCAGTTCAGGCCGGAGAAGGATCACCGGCTGCAGATCAGGGCTTTTAAGAAGGCGTTAGATAAACGAAAGGAGTTGAAGCTCATTCTGATAGGCGGATGCAGAAACCAGGAAGATGAAGACAGAGTTCTGATGCTTAGGGGACTCTGCCAGGAGCTGGGCGTAGCGGATAAAGTGGAGTTCAAACTGAACGTTTCATTCGAAGAGCTGAAGAGGGAGATGAGCAAAGCCACCATTGGTCTACACACCATGTGGAATGAACACTTTGGAATTGGTAAAAAAAACAAAAACATGATTATATTAATTTCAGTGCGGTTATCATGCATTTCCTGTTTCCTTTGTAGGGGTGGTGGAGTGCATGGCAGCAGGAAAGGTCATCCTGGCTCACAGATCTGGGGGTCCAAAGCTCGACATCGTCAGACCTTTTGAAGGCCATCAAACCGGATTCCTAGCAGACAGTGAGGAAAGTTACGCCGAAGCCATAGAGCAGATCCTGGCTCTAACTCCTGAGAGCCGCCTGGACATCAGACGCAGCGCACGCCAGTCAGTGGCACGCTTCTCAGATGAGGAGTTTGAAGCCTGCTTCCTGGCAGCCATGGAGCCTCTGATGGGAACACTGGAGCGATGATCTGTTCCAACATCACAGCTGAAGCACCTCAACTTTAACAACAAACATGTTCCTTTTTTTCTTTTTTTGGGTAAAAATTAGCTGCTTTTCATTGTAAATATTGTTTTTTTTTCTTCCCCTTTGTGTATATTGTATATTTTGTAAAATAGTTGAAACAAATTAGCCTTTAAAACATGAAAAAGAGAATTAAAGTAATTGTTTACAAAAAAAAAATCATTATTCTATCCATAAATTGTATCAGGATTTTAATTTATCTAGAAGGGAAATGTCTTTAAATGTAATATGTAATAAAAAATCTTTGCTTTTTAAGTGCCTAGTTTGTTTAAGATTTCATTATTTCCTACAAAACAAGAAGCAAGGCCAGTTATGTAGTTTATGTAACATAAAATAGTGTTTTTATTATTTAAAAGGTAAGAAAAGAGCAATTACTATAATCACAACATTATAGCTCATTTCTTCCATCATGGATTAGTTTTAGCCCTGAATGTTCGGCTCCAACAAACCCTTTAATAGAAAATACAAGATCCTCCTCATCCTGGAGTTCTGCTACCAAAGAACCATTGGAATATGAACTAAAACTGTCCCTAAATAGTCCTGAACTCTATTTGGAAACTATAGAAGATGATGCAGATTGGCTCTATATTGATAATTTTAACATTAAGTAGAAAAAAGATTCATCATGGAGCCCTTATTTCACTGGAATTGTGTTAAATATACCAATCTTGGATGTTTTCTTCAGGTGTAATCTAAAAAAAACATTAACTTGATACTAGTGTTAATGTTACAGGAATGTTACAGCTCTAGTATTTTGGGCTTTTTGATTATTTTTGAGAAAAAAAATCCCCCATACTAATCAATTCTTTACATCACATGCACTAAATCCAAGGCCTGTGGCCTCTCATGGTGAATTATCAAACCCTCCATGGCCAACAAAGTTATATCGTCATAATGTAGAGATAGATCAATGATCTTTGACTGATATTAGCATTTTTTTCCCCTGCATGATCAGTTCATCGATTCATTAGTACCCCAAGATCCCAAATTTGCTATCCATTGTTTTGTTTCATTGGTTTTTCTCTCCTTTTTTATTTAAATTGGCACTTTTAGAACATTTGTTCATCCTTGTATCATTCTTATGGACATGGAGAAATAAAAATAAATATGGGCTTTAATGATCGACCCAAAAATTATCAGCAGTAGCATCAGGATATAAAAAAATAAATAAATAAATAAATAAAACCAGTATTGGTTATCTCTAAAATAGAGGCATACATCTTTAAGTTGTACAAAGTGGCTAAAACTGCTACATAAATAGGAATAATACCAGAGCAGTGCTCTCTTTGTAAGGAAATTTAATAGATTTATTTATGACCTGAAGATGCTGAAGTGGCCTGATGTAAAAGTGACTGCAACAGCCCTGCTTTATACAGTACAAAGTTTCCATACTGCATCATAATTCAGACATTTCAGGGCTAGAAAGCTGGATTTTTTAAACAATCCCTTCTACAGGGTGTAGAGCACCATGAGACCACTAGAGGGAGCAGTAGACCTGCTCAGAACACTCATGTTTATCATTGATTAACAGTATTTTCATTATCTGAACAAATAAGACTCTGAAACAGGGTTGAGGTCTGGTTTGAACATGTATATTGGGATTTTTCAGTTTATATGCAAGAGGAAACATTTACTTCAACCGGCTTTTTCTTTACTTCACACTTCAACACATTAATAGCTTACAAACTGCACTCTAGCAAACATCCCGTCAGGGTGATTTAAGATATGTCGCCTTTAGCCAACTCGGACAAATGATAAGCATGATTAAGAATTCCTTTTTTGTGGAATTAACCTGCAGGGATGTGGAAACCAGCTAGATTATGTGAAATATTACAGAGTTGTCATCATGGCACAAAGAGACACATGGAGGAACATTGACTAAATGGACAGCACAAGCACCTGCTGGGGAAAAAAGGCAGAAAAAAACCCTTCATGCTCCACCTTTGAGGCACTGCTGTCATTGTGCGCTGTCGGCTAAAGCAGCAATGACACCATGAAGAAATAAAAGACGGGATTCAAAGCACATTCGGTCTAATGCAAATCTGAAGATGGGTTATTAAATACAAAATGTAATGCTCTGTACATTAACAGCCTGATATTTCTCCTTCATTGTGTACTAAGATAAAATTCCTGCTGTCAGGATGTTGATCTCAAGGGAACCAGTGACGGAGGATGAAAGCTGAAAGGATGAGGTCCAAGAATCAAGTCAACACACAATTAACCCGCTCAGATAAACACGCTTTTTAAACCTTGCTGGAATTAAATTAAAAAAGTAGAATTTTCTCGCTTTTGCAAAGTCCAGCAATCTCTGCAAAAGTCTTTGAAAAACGTTTCATTTCTCTGGACTTCTGCGATCAGAATGAGGCTTCCTTCAAATCCACATTGGCAGAGTTATAAAAAAGATATTTCACCACATTATTTTTCAGTTAACACTACCGGTGCATCTCAATACATTAGAATATCTGTAATGCGTTACGTAAATAATTGAAACCCCTCAAAATTGAAAGATTTAATAAGAGCCGTCAAAGGGATTTTAACTACAGAAATGTCAGCCAACTAAAGAGTTTAATATATGCTCACAATCTTTGTTGGCTCTCGTCTAAAGGACACCCTCAACATTCTTTGTTGGGTTTATGCTGAGTAACTCTGGGAGTCGGTCCAAGCAGCGGAGTTCTGATTAAAATGAAATAAATTGAAGAAAACAAAGTTTCTCTTGGTTATTCTGATGTTGGACTTGAATAAACAAGGTAAAATAATAATAAAAAACTGTCCTTCCACTTAACTTTCCTTAAAAAATGCTTAGATAAGCACTTTGGGACCAGCATTAGTATCTAACCCTGCATCAACCTACCTGCTGGACAACTGTTCTGTCAGTAATAGTTTTTGTTGGCCAACTTTTGACCTAATTATTTACTAATTTGAGAAATATGACGTTATTTTTCAGGCAACTATACAATATTTGTCAAAAAAATAAACTGGAATTTGAAACGGTCAGATCCGTCACTGAACAAGTCATGCCTGAGCTCCCCTTAATGCTTACATACCAAATCAGACATATTTTTTGGGGTTCTTTGCTGTTTTATTTAATGTAGAAGGGTGAAGCTCCACAACTTCTCAGTCTGCTGGTCCAAATCGCTCTGCTTTCAGATTTCAAAACACAGTAGGTGACTTATTTTTCTGCTGCAAGTTCCTTTCAAACTTGAAGTTATAGGTCTGGCGCCCCCTGGTGGCCGAGAATTAAACTATTTCTGTAAAAAACAAAAAACAAAATCCTAGGGAACTGAATTTTGGGTCTTCAGTTTGGCACCTTGACAGCGATATTCTAATTTATTGAGATTTTATCCATAAAAACTTGTTAAATTGGAATGCCATTGGGACCAAACATGTTCCTGATTAAAGGAAAACTTCTAAAAAAAAGCTTAAAAAAAAACAACTTTAAAACAATCAGTCTTTAAATAATTTCATACAATAGAAAACCAAACCATCACATTCAATAAAAGCCTTCCTTAATGCTTCACCATGTGTGAACATGCATGCAGACGATGCATGTTTCTCTTTCACACGTGTGCGCACACGTTTTTTTTTTTTTACAGCTTGTTGTCACATGTGGTTCATGCAGTAACCAAAGCAGAAACGTCCTAATGTGGTTCAGGTTTTTCTTTCTATCCAGTACGTGGCATATCTTCATGGCTTAAAAAAAAGAAAAAAAAGAAAAAATGATTTGGCTCAGACCTGGATCCTTCACACCCACCTGGTCCAGTCTTAACAGTCTTGTTACTGTAAATCCTTCTATTTTACAATGCTTTGTGTTAAAAAAGCACTGTTTGGAATTGGTGGTCGGATTTGTTTGTTTTTTATATACAAGGTCACGTAATGATCAGGTGAATTTCATCAGCTCAGGATGTCGTATCCGTTTAGCTAATAATGTCTGTTCAGTCAGCTGCGTCACGTCCTGATCTCAGACTTCCACCTTATCCGGTAAGTTTGGTCCCATCCCCTCGTTTGGGCGGTGCAGGTGGCGGTCCCCTTCGCAGCGTTGCATAGCCTGAGATGTTTCCGGACATATAGCCGCCGTTTCCACCGTTGCTCTGCTTCCCCTGGTCCAGGAGTAGCTCTGGAGGCGGTGGAGGCAGTGCCATGTCGTCCATAGTCCCCGCTAGGTCTTGCTTGCCGGGGAGGCCCGGACCTTGGCGACCCACCGACTTTCGCTTTAACGTCAAGCTCAGATCCTCCAGGAAGTTAGGCTGACCTGAGCTACCTTTTGGGGACGTGGGTGGAGGGGGTGATTTTGGAGGGGGCTCTGGGGTGGCGTTGCTTCGTCGCCCTAAAGTGGGCGGTGGAGTCTTTTTCAGGGAGTTCTTCGCCCAAATGGAGTTGCTAACAAGGGAGACGGGCGGTGGTGGAGGCGGGGCTTGGGGTTGAGGGTTTACCACGGCTACCCTTGGGACGCCTCCGCTATGAGTGTCATTTCCTGGAGGTGGGGGAGGAGGGAAGAGCTCAGAGACCGGGGGAGGTGGTGGAAAGCTGGCGCACTCGGGTGGAGGAGATGGAAAGTCGCCGCCGGCCTGTTTGGCCTGGCTAACTTTAGCCTGCAGCCCCAGCGGCAAGTTAGACAGGTTGAGCTTTCCTGGTTTAGGAGGCGCAGGTGGCCCATTGGAAGAGTCCTTTGAAGGAGATCCATTGGAGGAGGAGATGGGACATTGGGATGAGGTGGCGGCATTGCTCTGGGGAGCAAACTTGCTTAGCAAGTTCCTCCTGGATTCCTCGTAGGAGGCAGATGAGTTGGACTTGATGCTTGAGTTCCTCTGAGGGGTCGGAGGAGGTTTCTTCCCACCAAAATTCGAGGATCCGGAGGGGGATCTCCTTAATGGAGAACCCATGTTTCCTGAAGGAAGTGGAGGCGGAGGTGGCGTTGGGCCAGTTATGGGTGCTGGGGGAGGCGGTGGGGGTGGAGGCGGTGCAGGGAAGCCATTGTTGCTGTCTGCTGGAGGAGGCGGGAACTCTGGAGACTGAGGCTGCTGGGTACCGCCAAGCTGCCATTTTGGTTTCGTTTTTACAGCAGGAGGGGAGAGGGGAGCTTTAGGGCATTCGGCGTGATTAGCGACTTGAGACGGCGCCCCTGGAAACTGACTAGCGAGCTGCTTTACCAAAGACACGGTCGGTGCGGCTCCTGTGGAAATGCCAGTTGCCTTAGAAAGGCTGTGCTGCTTAGGCAGGGTAGGTGGAGGATGGCTGGGTGTGTGGCCCTGCTGGAGGCTGAGCTGCTTCTTTAATTGAGCCGGCGCAGGAGGAGGTGGTGGAGGAGGGGGTGGCGGTGGTGGAGTAGGCGCAGGAGGGAAGGGTGAGACCGGAGACATCGGCTTGGGTGCATAGTGAGGCATGAAGCCAGGGGTGAAGGTTTTGGGTGGCGCAGGTGGGGGTCCAGGAGGAGGAGGGAACTGAGCTGGTATTGGGAACTGCTGGGGAGGAGGGGGAGGAGGAGGTGGTGGTGGCGGAGGCGGCGGAGGAGGTGGGGGCGGAGCTGGAGCAGGCGGCGGGGAGTCCTCGAGATCTCCATTCTGAGATAGGAGTTCTCTTGGCGGACTGGGGAAGCGCTCCTTTAAGGCCTGCTTGAGCCCGTTGGAGTAAACAGTCTGTTTCATGGAGGCAGGGGGCGCGGGCGGAGGAGGCGGAGGAGGAGGGAATGCTACACCGTTGCTGTGTGGAGCAGGAGGTGGAGGGATGAAGGAAGGAGGGGTGGCCGGGCTTGGAGGGCCAAACCTCAGAACAGCCATGGCGGACCCTGGGGTCGGCATGGAGGGTGGAGGGGGAGGAGGAGGGGGAGGCGGAGGAGGGACATTGGTCCTAGCAGCTATGTGATTCACGTTAGGCTTTACAACCGGTGCGGCTGGCGGCGTCGGAGGTGGGGGCAGAACTTGCTGCGCTGTGGCGTGGAGGTGAGCGGGTAACTTGTGGGAACCCTTCTGGTTCTGCAGCCTGGTGATGGTGCTGAACTTGTACATTGTGGGGGCCAGCGAGTGGTGAGACACCATTTGGACTGGAGGGAGGGGTGGAGGAGGAGGAGGCGGCGGGGGTGGTGGTGGTGGAGGGGCAGCGGTTGGTTCTTGCGGCTGCTGCTGTGGGGGCATGTGGTCGTAGCTGCTGCTGGGCTGTGGCTCTGGAGACTTTGGCGGCTGCGGCGGAGGCTGAGGGGGCAGCTGAGGCGGCGGCTGTGGCGGCACCTGAGGCAGCGGCTGCAGAATTTCTGAGGGAGGAGGGGGCAGCATCTGTGGGGGAGACGGAGGCTGATGCTGCGGTTGTTGCACCGATGACTGCTTAGGCTGAGGCGGATCCGGCTGCGGATGAGGGGTGAGGATTGGGTGGTCCACTGAATGCTGGCTGTGATGCCGGTGGCTGTGGGAGGAATGCGTGGATCCACGCGATGCCTCATGTCTCATCTGCAGAGCAAAATATACGCAATATTTCAAATCACAAACTAATTAAACATCCATCTCAGTTACTCTAAACAAAAAGCATAAAAAGTAGGCATACTTTTGAGTTCTCCTCCATCTGGGTTCCCCTCTTCCAGGCTTCAGAGAAAATGGAGCTCACCACGCTCTGGGACCGGCCATGAGAGGAGGCTGTGTCCACTCCACTGTCTGAATGACCCGAATGATTGGACTGCGACTCTGACAGGACAACAACACCAACAAATCTCGGTTTACACAGCGCACAGGTTTAGAGAATGCAGCTCTTCATTAACACTTAGCCGAGGCTGTAAATGGAAAATTAAACTCACCAGGTATGCTGGCTGAACTGGAGCCCGATCGAATGCTAGAGGTAGATAGAGACGACCAATCATACGCCGCCTCTGTCCTCTTCATTGCTTCCTGGTAGTTCACATATAACTGCTTGCCATACTACAGAAGGACACATACTTCAGTCAGTTATGCAAACAGATTACCTTTCCACGAATCCATGTTATATATATATATATATATATTTTTAATTTCTTTTAATTGAGAATTAAGCCTAGTTTGGACCCACCTTGGCGATGCGAATGCCGTTCACCCACTGGTGCAGCGTCCTGACATCATCACAGCACAGGTACTTTATATACTGGGATTTCTTCTGGATTTGTGGATGCTTTAAAAGCAAATAAAAGAAACATCAGCCTCAAAACGGAGCTGACAAAACATGCCCATGTACTAAATATCTGCATGATCTACATACAGCTACCGTGTCTATTTAGTTAAGACTTTTTTAATGTGTATGTCAGAAACACTGATCTATAAATATTGATTTTATCAATATTTGTCTTTTTCATGTGTTCAAGGCAAAATAGCGTAATCTTAGTTTCAAAAACTTCAAGTAGCATTTTGGATTCCCTGTTTTTATTACTTTCTGAATGAATTCTTGACATGGTTTGTACAGATAGAAAATAGCAGCTAAAGTTAACGACTAAAAACTGCTATTTTTGATTCACCAGAAGTAAACTTTGGAGATCTTTTTAACATGCATTGGTTTATTGTTTATTAATTATAGACTTTATAACAGTTGGGTGTAAATGGAAACATTTAGGCAAGAAGCAGTTTTATAACCCTTACCTTATAAAGATAAAGGCTTATAAAGATCTATTCTCTTTCCCATTTCAAAGAGAGAATAAATAAAAACAAGCCTCTATTGCAGTCGTGTTTTAATCCAAAGGGTAACAAGTAGATTATTTAATTTAAAGTCCTAAAAACTTTTAATGAAGTTGGGAAAAAAGACTTCAATTACATGTTTAAAGGAATTGTTAAGGTTGCGGATATTAGCATCAAATGTTGTAAAACCAAAATGTTTAAGAGGTCTTTAGAGGTTTAAATGCAGGTGTAAATTTAAGCTGTAGAGCTGCTGCCTTATATTTTATGCAATCACCTTTAGCGCAGTTACCATGTGTGCACCATTTAAACCCCACACATTTGTTCAATATGTGTTTGGTGCACTTTTAATTCCTCTCAGCCAGCTGGGCTTACGCACAATGGGCTCTATGCACAGCTCCACTACTTCCTGAATTTAAGGCAGCTCTTTTGTTTCCTGTCTTTCATTACTGGATGAACTGATTAATCCAGGTGTGTCTGGCCAGTTACTTAGGTCATACACACCTGGATTAATCAGTGCATCCAATCATGAAAGACAGGAAACAAAGGAGCTGCATTAAATTCAGGAAGTAGTGGAGCTGTGCATAGAGCCTATTCAGTCTTTGTGGACAATTAGCTCCATTATCTACGCTTGCATTCCAGTTCATGAGCATTGAAGGAAAACTTTCTTTAATTACTACAAAATTACATCCAGAATAAATATTAATTATATTTTTGCAAATTTTTTGGGATTAAGAAGAAAAGATACAGAACTTTAAATATTTCTTTATTTCTATCCATCCAATTAGGATGTAAAGGTTAACTTATGTCATATAAATGTTTTCTCTGTTACTTTTGAATATTTTAACATTTTAGTTTACTTTTTTTCAGTTAAGGTTTTAGAGCTTTAGAGATTCTTATATTTTCCAAACTGCATGAAGTCATTAACAAATAATTAGGTGGATTTCTTAGCGGGTGGTTTTAACCATTAGTTTAGTTTTGTTTAATAATAAAATAACTCTTTATCTTTTCCATGTCTTTCTTTCAACAAAGACTTCTGTAGCTGCTGCATCAGCCTGGTTATAGCAAAAAAATATATATATTACAATTCATGGTTTTGTTTTTATAACCCCAATAAAGGTTTTTCCATCTACTAAAAGGTGTGGATAAAAGTTGACAGGGCATCTATTGTTAAATATTTTAAAAATGGATAAAGAGTGGCTGTGCATTTTTTTATTCTGGATTAATCATCAAATATTACTCATTCTGGAATATTTGCATTAGATTTCTTCCTCTAGATTTTTTAAAAAGACAATTAAAATTGAGATGCTAAAGGCTTAATGTCTGAAATACAAAAGTATATTTTAGCTGTTTTAAATAGGTTATATTGGTCTGTATTTAAGTACCGGCAACAATTTATTTTAAATATACTAATTAAAGCTACCTGTGGACTATAAGAGAAAATGTACTGCAAAATGTGAAGTAAAAGTAAAATTTTCTTGAAATAATTGTATCTCCATTTCATTCCAGTAGGTTTGGAAAAATGATCTGCCAATGGAATAAAATTTTTGCACTTAAAAATTACAAAACAAAAACATATAATCTTATTTTAAGAGCAAAAACTCATCTTATTGGTAGATAATTTCACATACTTGCTCAAATAAAGGCCAAATACACTAATCTTAAGAAATATTTACAAGTGCAGTATGTTGATAGCAGCTATCATTAGCATCAACAAAAATAGAGTTTTTACTAAATGTTATTTTCCTAATAAAGCTTTTTTTTCTGTAATTCTCTACCTTCAGAGCCAGGCAGTAATCAGTGGGAGCCTTGTATTTGCTGCGGTAGTCCTGACCGTAATACACATTAACATGGTCCAACTGAAGGAAGCATACGAGATCTCTGGACGCCTGCGGAGACAAGAGACGACATTTTATATTCAAAACAACAAAAAAAAAAGCAGCTTTTAATGACACATCTGGAAGATGATCATTTAAGTGTCTCTTTCTGTATTTCAAAGATTAAAATAGCTTTGGATTTAGTGCCAACCTCTAAGTTTTCAGATGCTACATTAAATTTTAAAAAGATTATGATGCTAAACAACATGTGCAGATATTGGATCTTCTAGAAACTGCAGAGAAGGTTGGAAAATGGAAATAATTAGCAAAAGCACATGTGCTTTTACCAAACATGGCAGCACATGTGCACCTCAGATCTGGCTCTGGCTGCAACTGCTCTTCAAAGTGATGAGGAACACAACAGGAAATACCACAAAGCAGACTGTTGATTTGGTTCTCAAGATCCCAGCCCTAATTTCTGATTAATCCTTTGAAACCTGACTCAGAAAATTTAGATTTTTTATTTAAAAAAAAAAGAAAATAAATAAAATCCCAATTCTTAGAGATGCATAGCAGCAGATTTTTGGGGATTTTTTTTTAAACTTTTTTAAAGAGAGGGAGTACTTATCACCCTAATAAGAGAATTTTGACTCCTCTTTAATGTGCAATCAAAATTCAAATAATGCATTTAATTGTAAACCCAAATTCTGAGAAACTCTCGTATAACTAATCATCTCTTTAAAAAAGATGTTTTATTTTTGTTGTAAGTACTTTTTAACAAAAACCACTAATGGAATATATCATTATTACTACAAGTATCTTAAAGTAAATGATCACAATTATTATAAGATAAAAAAATTATGCAAATATTTGTGTCTAAAATGGGTTCCTACTCTGTAATTGTTGCTTCCATTTGAATCAAACGGAATAAAAGTACCGTATTTTC